AGACCAATTTCTAGGCTGCAATGGGACAAGAACTCAAGGAATAGAAGGAAACTGCCTCAATCAGATAAAGGGAACCTACCGACGAATCCACAGATACAATCGTACTTCACGGCGTAGGGCTGAATGCTTTCCCCCACACTCAGGGAAAGCAAGATGTCCGCCCTCAGCACCTCTGTTCAGATTGCAACCGGGGGTGCTAGCCAAGGCTTGTGTCCAGGAAAAAGAAATAAAGAGCGCTCAGACTGGGGAGAGGAAGAAGCAAAACTGTATCTATTTGCAATCACACGCCTTTGTCTACAGGCCATCCTAAGGAGTATACATTACAATGTATGTATAGAATGAGCTCGGCAAAGTTGTGGGAAACAAGATCAATATGCAAAAATCTCTGGACAGGTAACCAAGACAGAGAAGACACTATGTTGAGGCGTACTGTTACTGTGCTGCCTCAGTGTCATTCTGTTGTGTTGAGTGAGTCCCCCAGATGCCACACTGCGCCCCTGGCTAACCACCTGACCCCAGTTCCCAACCATCACTTGCTTTGTCCCCCTTCCCCTCCCCACCCCAACAGCACACGCCCAGCTGCTCAACGAAATGCGAAGTCAGGTCAGGCCCATGTGGCCAAAGCCCCTTTTCACGTATGTTTGCGTCAAATCTTCCCATCTTCTTACCACCCCCCTGCTCTGATGCCCTGACCACCTCCCTGAACCCCAATAAACACAGGCACCCCCGGGTCCATAACACACTTTCTTTCCATGTGCTCACTGACCTCTGCGTGGCCTCTGCATGTGCCATGTTCCTCTAAACCTGTGAATGACAAAATTCTCTTTATTTCCACCTTGTGTCTGTCCTAATCACGGAAACGGTGCTGTCCATGTTAAAGGCACCAAATTAAAACAGACACAAACTGTTAATGTCACACACGACAGAGAAGCTGTCAGTCCTAATACCATGGACATTAAAAGGATAATAAACGAATGTGATGAATAACTCATCGCTCAGAAATTCAATAACGTAGATGAAATAGATCGATCCCTTGGTAGACACGACCTACCAACCCACACAAAGAAAAATAAATAACCTGAACAGGCCTATACTTATTCAAGAAATTGAACTAGTAACTAATACCCTTCCAAAAAAGAAAGAACTGGGCCTAGCTGGTTTCTATGCCATTCCTCTACAATCTCCCTCAGAAAATAAAAGCAGGGAGAATGCTTCCTAACCCACTCTTTGAGGCCAGCATTACCCCAGTGTCAAAACCAGAAAAAAGACATTACAACAAAGGAAAACTGCAGACCAACATCTCTCGTGAACACACAGAGGCTCCTTGACTTACAGCAGGGCTACACCCTGATAAACCCATCATAATAAATTGAAAATGTATTTAATACACCTAAACTACCCAACATCACAGCTGAGCCTATCCTACCTTAAATATGCTCGGGACATTTACATTGGCCTACATTTGGGCAACATTATCTAACACAAAGCCTATTTTGATAAAGCGTTGCATATCTTATGCAACTCATTAAAAACCGTATTGAGAGTGGAGAACAGAATGGTTATATGGGTACTCAAAATATGGTTTCGACTAAATGCATATTGCTTTTACACCATTGTAAAGTCAAAGAATCATGAGTCAAACCATCATATGTCAAGGCCCATCTGTATATGCAAAAACCTTCAACAAAAATATTAGCAAATTTAATCCAACAATGTATGAAAAAAATTATAAATCACAGCCAAGTGGGATTTATTCCAGGTCTGTGAGGCTGGTTCGATGCTCCAAAATCAATTAATGTAATTCATCACACCAACAGCTAAAAAGAAAAACCATATGGTCATCTCAATAGATGCAGAAAAAAAAATTTGACAGAATCCAACGCCCATTCGTGATTTTAAAACATGTTCTTAGCAAACTAGGAATATAAGGGGACTTTCTCAAAAACGATAAAGAATGTCTACAACAAATCCACAACTTACATCTTACTTAAGGGTGAGAAACTAGATGCTTTTCCCCTAAGATCAGAAACAAGGCGAGGATGGCCCCTCTCATCTCTCCTATTCAACATTGCATTATGAGCCTTAGCCAGTACAATAAGACAAGAAAACGAGTCAAAGGCATACAGATTGGAAAGGAAGAAACATAATCAAACTATCTTTGTTTACAGATGACGTGATTGTCTATGTAGAACATTCCAAAGAACTGACAACACACACAAACATGCGCTTCTGGAACTAATGCGCAATTATAGCCAGGTTTCAGGATACAAGATTAATATACGAAAGTCAATTGCTTTCCTATGCACCATCAATAAGCAATTGAAATATGAAATTAAAAACATAGTACTATTTACAGTATAACCCAATAAATTAAATACTTAAATATAAATCTAATAAAATATCTACAGGATGTATATGAGGAAAACTACAAAACTCTTGTAAATCAAGGAAGGTCTGAATAAATGGAGAGGTAGTCTATGTTCATGGATAGGAAGACTCAACATTGTTAAATTGTCAATGCTTTTAAATTCTTCCCTACTTGATCTGTGGATTCAATACAATCTCAGTCAAACTCTAAGCAAGTTATTTTATGGATACTGCCAAATCGAGTGTGTCTACCACGTGGGTGTTCTGTTCCCCTCACACCTGTCCAGTGGGGGCCAGGCAGTCTCCCGTCTTGCAGCTGTCCTCTCTGGAACTCGTGGTCTGCAAGGTTGCCACAGCAAAGACAGAGAGGGCCAGGAGTGTGTGGCGAGTTTTGGAGGGCCAGGCCTGAGAGTCACAGTAGACACTGAGCACCTTCTCCAAAACTCTGCACAACTTACATTCCACTAGGAGTGTGAGTGTTCCAGACACTCTGCACCCTCACCCCATTTGGTATATCCTGTTTGATTTCATTTTATTTCAGTCATTCTGGGGGGGTACATAGTTGATCTCAGTGTGGTTTTCATTTGTATTTCTCTGATGACCATTGAATTTGAGCACCTTTAAAATGAAAGTAGCTGGCATAACTGTGCCCGCCTTCCACCACCCATACTCAGTTGCTCGCCCCAACCCGAGGGCCAGAGAGAATGAGGTTGTGGACAGCAGGTTGCCCTATGGATAAAAGACCTAGATCTCCACCCCACAAATTCCGTTAAAGTAAATTCAGATGAATCTAAGATGTAAATGTTCTAACAAGTTAGAACAGAAAAATAATAATTGTTTTTATAATCTTACTGCAGAAAAGACATTATCTTTTCCATAAAGATATTATATATTAGTACCATATCTGTATATTATGAAGCCCAGAGGCTACACAAGCAAAGATTGTTATTTGGTTATATAAAAACAGAAATGTTCTGTGGGGCACAAAAGCCAAAAGAAAAATGTCAAACTGCAAAAATTAAAAAAGGAAACGAAGGAAAGAGGAGATAAGGAAAAGAGGAAGGAAGGAGGGAGGCAGGGAAGGAGGAGGGAGGGAGGGAGGGAGGCAGGGAAGGAGGGAGGGGGGAGAAAGGGAAGGAGGGAGCCCAGGGAGGCAGGAAGAAGACATAACTCATCACAGATGAGGGCTCATTTCTTTGATGCACGAGGAGAACCTAAAAGCCAGTAACAAAACAAACAACTGCCCAGAGAAATATGCAAAGAAGAGGAAATAACAGCTCACAGAAAAGGAGGCCTAAGCGGTTCTTAACCACATGTAAAGATTCTCCTCTTCACTGAGAATCAGAGAAAGGCAGAATTACAGCTCCAGGGAGATGCACTGTCCCCGTCAAATGGGCAGTGGTCAGGCGAGCGAGACAGCCCCCCTCCCCGCAGCTGTGCTGGGCGTGGACGGGGCCAGTCCCCACCAAGGTCCTCTGACCACAGGAAGCACACACACTATTTCAGCCAGAAACCGACCTCTCGCTGTTTACCCTTCAGATGTTACTCACCCGAGGGCAGAAACTGGTGCGTGTACGAGGCTCTTCACGGCAGTGTTGTTGGTAAGAGCAAAACCCCGAGGAAACAACCCACTTGACCATGCGCAGAGGGTGGGTTGGTGAGTTGTGATACATCCACACACAGCACTACTTGGTCATACCGAGAAAATAATGACGCAGCTGCGACGTTTATCTGCAGAGACGTCTCCAAGGCCGCGTGAAACGACAGTGGCAGCAGAGGGCACGTGGCCCACCGCCGACCAAGCGAGAGAAAAGGGGACACAGGGTCCACAGGGGGCACACCCGGCCGCCTGACTGCCCCAGTCACTGACACCCGAGAACCGGGGAAGAGAACCGCAAGGCACCTGGGCTGCTCGGGGGCGGTGAGCGAGAAGGACTTCTCACCTGGTGCCGGGCGTGATTTGAATTTATGGCCGTGTGCATGCACACCTGTGCAAACCAGACTGCTTTAAAAACCGGAACACAACCATTACAACAAACGCTGTTTTAGTCCACTCAAGCTGCTATAAAAATGCCACCGACTGGCTGGCTCACAAACAGCAGAAATCTCTCTCTTCCGGCTCTGGAGGCTGGGACGTCCAGCTAGAGGTGCCGAAAGAGTCGTGATGTCACAGACGGCACCTTCTCTCTGTACCCCAGACGGCAGAGAGAGGGCGGTGGGTCCCTCTCGGGTCTCTTCTGTAAGGACACTCATCCCACTCCTGGGTGCTCCACCCGTGTGACCCAATCACCTCCCAAAGGCCCCACCTCCTATCTCCGCCACCTTGGGGGAAAGGATTCCAACCTACGAATTTTGGGGAGACACAAACATTCCGACCACAGCACCCACCTATCTGGAGCTGCTGAGCTCCTGCCCTGGCTCCGCACAGGGGTGTCTCGGACCCGTGCGCTCTCTTTATTGCGTTTCTATTTCATCTTTCCTCCAAAGCACCCAAGGCACTTCTCCAAGTCCCTCACATTTTGCGAACACAGCCAGAGACATGCTCTTAGCCTCCAGGAGACCGGCCCACGGGGACCCCGCGCTGGGGCGAGTCCGTCTGAACTCTGCCCTGTGTCTCTCTCGCTCCCCGGCTTCTGATTTGTGTTTTCTTCCTCCCCGAGAATGCGGCTAAGCGGGAAACGTCACCTTCGTCCCTGCTGCGGTTTCCGAGTCGCCAGACAAAAAAGCCCCGGCACGCGCCAAGTCGGCTCTGCGTTTGGGGAGCCCCGGCGAACACGGCCTGGCACCGTGACGCCGTGACTGGGTGTCAGGATTTGACTAAGAGGATTTAATTTTCTCAGCAACAGACGGAAGTGGCTGGTTTGAAGCAGCCCGAGTGTCTTAGAGAAGGGTATTTTTCACAAAGTTGCTCATCTCGACGGGGACTGTTGTGATGAGAGAGATTGTCTGTTTTCGTTCCAAGAGACATTCGAGAATAACATTATTACCACTCCACAGCTCTCGGTAACATCTTAGAGAGCCGGTAACACATCTCCCCCATGCTAAATGTCTGTAACAATGCTCTCCAGCGCTGGTACTTTGGAAGCTCCAAGGAAACTTGTGCAATCAGGGTGTAAACAATTGCACGGCTTCTACCGAGCGCGCGGCTGTCGGGCACGGGGGAGCGCACGTCTCCAAGCCTCTGCTGCGGCACCTGTGTTGATGTCTAAACGCGTGCACGTGTTCCCAGGGGCGCCAGGGAGCAGAGGGAAATGCACCCGACCGGCAGCGCATCGGGATCAGAGCGTTTGACAGTCGCCCGCCACACCGAAAAGCTGGAAACAAATGCCAACTAGAAGCGAGTTATTTACGCTACCAAAAACTGGTCATCAGCAGAAGCCAGACGGCAGGGCTGTCCACGCGGAACCTCCGCGGGTCCGGGAAAGCAGGACGCCATTGGTCCCCCCGCGGACCCACGCTGGGGCAAGGACGAGAGGACACCGGGCAGACAGGGACAGATGTGCGCCCGTCTGGCTGTCCGAGCCAGAGTCCCAGCGTGGGAGCCTCAGGTACTCCCCCCCTTCCAGGTGAACTCACAGCTTCTTCCGGGCTATTTCCAGCCTCCTCCTCCTCCTCCTCCTCCTCATCATCATCATCACGAGTTGTGCCGGGGGCGGGGGGCTCGGGGGCTGTGCTCTGGTTTGCCCAGCCTCACCACGCCTCCTGCGCCTTGTCAGGTTTACTTTCTAATTTGAGTTAATTTGGGGGAAAATCTGTCCTCAAATCCCGCTGGTCAACGTGGGAACGGTGCCAGAGAAGGCAGGACCGGGCGCCGCTCTCCTCTGCCCGTCGGCACCAGGGGCCGGCCCTGCCCACACCGCGGGCGCCCAGTCCCGCCAGGGGAGACCGGGCAGAAGGAGAGACGCTGCCGTTCCGGACAGCCCCGCCCCCACCGGGCCGCCCGCCCTTCCTTGTCTCTGTCTTCATTTGAGCGCTTCCTTGAGGCAGAGGAATTAGCACACGAGTAGCCAGTAGACTCGGGTTCAAATCCCGACCCTGCCAGATCTCTGACTTTCACTGAGCTTTGGCTTCCTCGTCTGTTAAAAAAAAAAAAAAAAAAATGGGAGCGGGGATGATATCTTTACATTCATCCTTAGCTTTTAAAAATGTATTATGGCCAGGCGCGGTGGCTCACGCCTGTAATCCTAGCACTCTGGAAGGCAGAGGCGGGAGGATTGCTTGAGCTCAGGAGTTCGAGATCAGCCTGAGCAAGAGCGAGACCCCGTCTCTACTATAAATAGAAAGATATTAGCCAAACAACTAAAAATAGAAAAAATTAGCCAGGCATGGTGGTGCATGCCTGTAGTCCCAGCTACTCGGGAGGCTGAGGCAGGAGGATCGCTTGAGCCCAGGAGATTGAGGTTGCTGTGAGCGAGGCTGACGCCACGGCACTCACTGTAGCCCGGGCAACAGAGTGAGACTCTGTCTCAAAAAATATGCATTATAAAATACGTCATCCATACGAAAGAGTATATATAATCTATCCCTACAGCCTGAAGAGCAGCTATAAAACCACCGCTGTCCACCAACACGCCAGTGGCACCTGCCTGGGCCCCTCCCTGTGGCGTCACCTCCACACCCGCCAAAGCCCACCCCAGCCCGAATTCCGTGGCCTCCTGCTCTTTCCCCTTGAAATTTTAATCCGTCTAAACAACATGCAGTGCAGTTGCGCACGTATTTTAATCTCACGTAAACGGACTCGTATTCCATTCTTCCGTAACCTGGTTTTTTTCTTCTGAACATAATGACTTCTGTAAATGTTTGAGATAGTCACAGACTGACAGAATAACTGCAAGAACTGCACAAACAACTCCCACCGGTCCCTGACCCGGATGCACCCATGCTTAACGTCTCGTCACACTCTGCCCCAGCCCTCGTGCGTACGTGTCCTTTCTGAATTGTCTGAGAGCAGGTGGCCCACGTGAAGCCCACCGTGTGCTTTTCCCGAGAGAGAGGGAGGGTATGCTCTCGCACAACCCCGGGGCGCAGACAGGCTGGCGTCACTGTGACGAGTTCATCAGACCTCGGCCCCTGCGCCAGCGCCCTCAGTTTCCCCGGAGACGCCCTTTGCAGCGTGTCCTGCCCAGCACACGCCCAGGTCCGGGCCGCCCCAGCCTTGGGTTTCTCTGTCTTTTCCGTCTCCCCCCGCTGCACAGCCTCCCGGTGTCCCCTTGTTCTCGTGACACCAACACTTCTGAAGAAGGCGGTGGCCCTGCAGGATGGTCCCCGGCCTGGGTCCGTGTGGCGTGTCCTCACGCTCACATCCAGGTGTGCACACCTGGCTGGGGACACCACCCCGCTGCACCTCCGGAGACACACAGCACCCACCTGGCGTCCCTCGGTGACGCCAACGTGGGTCCCAGGTGTGGGCTGGCTTCTCCTCTGGGGAAAACACTTGGCGGCCACATGAGCACCCTGTCCCCCACCGACCCCACCGCCCCACTTGAGCATTGGTTGGTGACTCCTGCCCCAACCAGCCTTCATCACGATCATCACAACACAGTGACTGTCCCCAACTCCCTCCACGCTATCCATGCAGCATTTTACTGTAAGGAAGACACGGCATTCTCCCGCACGGACTCGTGTGTCTACTGGCTATCTATTTACCGTCCAGTGCTGTCCTTACCTATTTTGATGCTCTGGTTGTCCCAGATCCGGCCAGTGGGACCCTCCGCTTGTCCTTTGAACACCATGCCTGCCTCATATCCAACAGAGTTCCTGTTGGGTCACGCTGAAAGCCAATTCCCACCCACCTCCCCAGGGTTTCCATGCCTTCCTCCCCCCGCACGTCTGTTTTCCTTCATCCGCAGGGAAAACCCTGCCTCCCCCCACGCAGCATACCTGCCCATGTGGCCAGTCCTACAGCACACATGGAATGATTTCAGAATTGCTACACCCTGACCGGCCCGGAAGCCAAACCTCCTGAAACGAGGTCGAGGTTGGCTTGCTGTTCTTTCCCTGGAAGGTGTATAATCCAAACCCCATGTCTAGTTTCTGTTTTTCCCCTTCAGTGTGGTCACATTATTTAGATGAAAGGCAATTGGATTCATTTGACTCTTTGTGTGTTTAATTTTAGGGGTTTTTTTTCCCCATCCTTCTTGATTTTTTAAAATTTTCATTTATTTATATTTTAGGCACGGGGTCTGGCTATGTTGCCCAGCCTGGAGTCCAGCAGCTACTCACAGGCAGGATCCTAGCACACTGTGTCCTTGAACTCCTGGCCTCAAGCAGTGCTTCTGCCTCAGTTTCCTGAGTAGCTGGGACTACAGGTGTGCACCACTGCACCTGGTTTTTCTTTTTTCATGTTAATTTCATATCCTGCTACCCTCCTGCTATGGGCTGAATTATGTTCCCCAAAAAGGCATACGCTGGAGTCCTAACCCTCAGTATCTCAGAATGTGACCTTATTTGGAAACAGGGTTATTACAGGTGTCATGTTCAAATGAAGTCATGTGTCAGTAAGGTAGGCCCCTAAGCCAATAGGACTGGGGTTCTGACACAAAAGGGGAGGTTTGCACTGCAGGGTTACTACGTATGAAGATGAAGGCAGACACTGGCTCCTACAAGCCCGGGCACGACAGCTGCCAGCAAGCCACCTGCAATGAGGAGAGAGGTGAACTGTCCCTCGTAGCCTCGGAAGGCACCGACCCTGCCCACAGCCTGACCCAGGACCTGCAGCCTCCAGACCAGGGGTCCTCAAACTTTTTAAACAGGGGGCCGGTTCACTGTCCCTCAGCCTGTTGGAGGGCTGGACTATAGTTTAAAAAAAGCTATGAACAAATTCCTATGCACACTGCACATAACTTATTTTGAAGTAAAAAAACAAACAGGCAAAAACACCCGAGTGTGGCCCGCGGGTCGTAGTTTGAGGACGCCTGCTCCAGACGGTGAGACAGTAAGTTTCTGTCGCTGAAACCCAGGAAACTAATTCACCTCCTGAGCTCTTTCATTGTGCTGTTACTTTAATCATTGACTTCCTGAGGTTTTGCAGGGACATCCTTTATCACCTGAAAATAGGCAGCTTTACTCCGACAGTTTTTGTCCTCTAACTGCTCTTGCCCGACCGCGGTGGCCAAAGTCCTGGGGAAATGCGAGAAGTGGGTGGGACAGCCTCCCCTTGAACGTGTGCTTTGGTGCCTACGTGAATTTCTGCGGCCAGGCAGTGCCCCTTGGCACCCACGTGACACCGGTGGCTTATTCCTGTCCTCCTGTTAGGGACAGTGAAGACCCCCGGCCCGGCTCCTGGCTGGTGCCCGGGCTCCTCTCGGGCACGTTCTTGGGGGAGTTACGGTCCCAGGAGATGAACAGAGGCTCGTCCCCCACCGCCGGGAGGTGCCGGCTGTGACAACAGCTCTGAGACAGCAGCGTACGCAAGCACCCTTCGCTCTGCATCCTTGTTAGTATGCAGCAGTGCCGTGCACGGGCGTCTCTCTCTGTCCTTTGGTTTGCACGTTCCTAACAGCTACTGAGGTGGAGCTTCCCCTTCTAGAGAGGCCCCTGACAGCTTTCCGGGAGCAATTCGTATATTCTAAATACTGTGTCTTTGTTGCGGTTGTTGTTGCTGTTGTTGTTTTCACCACAAATACCTTCTGTAGACACAGATCTCTCTGTGTCTTGATTTTTCGCTTTGGGCAAAGAGGCATTCTTAATTTCAGTGTAACCAAACGGTCCTGGCACAGTGGCTCACGCCAGTAATGCTAGCACTCTGGGAGGCCGAGGCCGGCGGATCGCTCGAGATCAAGAGTTCAAAACCAGTCTGAGCAAGAGCGAGAACCCCGTCTCTACTAAAAATAGAAAGAAATTAATTGGCCGACTAAAAATATACAGAAGAAATTAGCCGGGCATGGTGGCGCGTGCCTGTAGTCCCAGCTACTCGGGAGGCTGAGCCCAGGAGTTTGAGGTTGCTGTGAGCGAGGCTGATGCCACAGCACTCTAGCCAGGGCAACAGAGTGAGACTCTGTCTCAAAAAAAAGTAACCAAATGTATGGATATTCTCCTTTATTGCCACCATTAATTTTTATAACTTGTTTAAGAAATTCTTCCCTACCCTGAGGTCATAAACATATTTCCTCTTATTGTCTTCCAAAAGTTTCATTGTTCTTCCAATAAATTTGGAAAAAAATAGAATTTTCAATAAAAAATTTAACAAAACTGATAGAAAATCTAGATAAGCCATATACATTAACAAATTAAATCAATTCTCAGAAACGTCCCTTCCTCCCCTGAAAGACACCAAGGAGAAATAGTTTATAGGCAATTTCTAACACGCCAAAGGGTAGATGATGCCAAACTTAAACAAAAGAATAAAATAAAAATGTTTCAGAGACATATACTATACAAGAGGAAGGAAAACTGCCCAAATTATTGTGCAACACTAGCATAAACTTGATTTAAAAAAACATAAAAAGAAAACTATAGACCAATTTGAAATATGAATATAGGTATGAAAATCTTTTTTAAACACGTTAGCTAATCAGGTGCAACAGTATATGTTTTTTAGAAGGTTTATATTTCATGACAAAGAAAAAATGTCCCTGGGACGTAAGAATGTTTCAAATCCAAAAATTCTTTGATACAATTAATGTTTACAGTTACAGAAGAAAACACAGCCAAACACCTCAGTAGATAGAGATGTTCAACCTTTCCGGCAATCAGGAAAACATATATTAAAACAAGAATAAAATTTCCCCTACCTACCAAACATGTGCTCTATATGTAGGTGAGTTTAAAATAATTTGGAATAGGTGCAGAGTTTCAGTTCTGCACAAGAAAAAGAGCCCCGGTGGTGGCTGCCCAACAGCACAAAAGCACGTGACGCCACTGAGCTGAGCTCTTGGGATGGTTTTGATGCTAAATTTTATGTTACGTGTGCTTTACCAGAGTTATAAATTAATAAACATTTTATAATTTAAAACACACGTTAAGAAGTAGTCAGAGCCTGATAACCTTGCGGGCCCTGTTGGGTGTCTTTTTATGTAGATTTGATACATTTGAAGCAGGGCTCAGATTTGATCTGGTTTCTAAAGAATGTGCTTCAGGTGCTGGCCTGGGGTCCTCCAGGGCTCCCTGCTCATCTTCATTCATTGACTTCCAGCCTCAGACTGGGGGTTTGGTGGAAGCAGGCACCAGGCTCCTAAGGGGGCCCAGGGGAGAGATGCCCATTGGAGAAAGGAGGAGGGAGGTGGCTAGTGAGGGGCTGGGGAGAGGGACTCAGGGGAGGGGTCCGAGCAGCCCTGGCCTCCTAGGGCTTCGGCGGTGAGTGAAGAAAATGGGTATGTGACGCATGTTGCATGAGGTAGGTGCTCAACAGACCGCGGCTGCATATCTGCGTGCTGCTGCAGGGCCTCTGTCTTAATGGCTGACAGCACCGAGCCAGGCCCCTGCCTGGTGACCAGTGTGTCTGCCAAACTCCCGGCACAGGCTGAGGGCATGCATCAGGCCCTTTGTGTCATTGTCACTAGTCGTGCCTCAGTTTCATAATGCGGTTTCAATGGAATTAAGTGGAAAGACCTGACATTATGCATCTAATTACATCTTGCACCTGTTGGAACTGCTGAGCGGCCGGGGCCTCCCATGGGGCACCTGCCCAGGTCTGTACCTCACCACCACTTCCGCACGTTTGCTTTGCAACCGGAACTCTC